ATATATATATACATACATATGTATAAGTAGCCCGCTTCTCAAAATTTTAAATAGTCTATTACCTGAGTATTTTAATCTATTTTATTGAAATGTATAACCACTCTGAGATAACGAACCAGACAACAATAAGTCCGAACTCATTTTGAGCGCGGCATTCATTAATCGTGTTTTACAATTTTTCTTATTTTTTTTTATTTTTTATTTTTTTTTTTACAAATGTTTGTATTACGTTTTTATGTGTACCGAAAATAGTCACAAAATTGCGGGCTGGTCAAAATTATATAAACACGTAAGCTTGATTTTAAAATGGTTTCTCGTGTTATGTTTATTTTTATGATTTTTTGTATTTATATTATTAGTTTTGAATACATTAATTTTTATAGCTATAGGATTCTTTAATATGCGTCATTTAAATAATAATTAATAGAATAAATGGCTCTTTAATTTACATAGTACAAAACTATTTAAATGAGCTTTATGGGCACCCGTGTTTTGATGAAGGGCAGTAAGTCATGGAAGTATTGTGAACGTTTGCCTATCTTTCAAAGTAGAGCTCTTGTAGATTTTATATTTTTCTACGCAACAGTGTGTGTTAGTTACTGTAGAATAATCACTGCTACAGTAGACCTGTTTGTTTTTTACAAAACTACTATCAATGTGCACGAAAAACATTATTTATGAAAGGAAAATTCATTGTTTTTTGGTCGGAATTGGGCCCCTAAACGTCCTGGGCCCCCCCGCATTGCGGGGTCTGGCGGCACTGTAGTTCCGCCCCTGGGTGCGTTCAAGCTAGAAGAACGATCGGTTTATAGGTGTTTATGTAATTTTAAAATTTGTGCCCGAACGAGAGGATATTTTTGAAAACTTTCTTCGGCAATATTGTTCTAAATTATGTCAGGAATCGATTGGTACATGTTTCAAGTCGCTAAGTGGTCTGGTTGCCGAGATATTGGCCAAAAACTGATTTTTTTCGAGGTTTTTTGGCTTTTCCGGGAAATACATGAAAGAAACCCGTAATTTTTATGGCCTATGCTCATTCTCGTAACTTGCTTAACATAATTGCTTTTGGAACTAGTCATCGATATTGCTTCGTTGAGGAGGAGATACGACTTAAAGCCCGGACACACATTCATCCATACATTCTTTCATTCATTCATCCATCCATTCCCAGAAATGACGAGTTAATAAACGCAATTCTCCAGAATGGAAATTGCGCTAAAAAATGTGCTTCATTATTATAGTTTAAAATATAACAATTTTAATGGTTATTTCCCTTGCACCGCAGACCGGTTTACTTTAAATAACGAAATGTAAATTAATTTTCGTGTTACCACACTAGGATGTGTGTGTGTATGTGTGTGTGTTAATGTGTGTGTGTGTGTATAAAACTGCTTAAAAATACAAACTGAAGTTAATGATTCGTTCATTGAGGTGCCGGGTGGTTGAGTGATAGACCGCGGCATGCAGACCCCAAATGACCCGAGTTCAAATCCGTGATCCTATGTCCTAGCAAAGCAACATTTATTGTCCTCACAATGGACACCTACAACTACACCTACAACTACAACTACAACTACACCTACACCTACAACTACACCCACACTCACATCCACACTCACACCTACTCCTACACTTACAACAACACCTACACCACACCTACACCTACACCCACACCTACACCCACACCTACACCCACACCCACACCCACACCTACACCTACACCTACACCTACACCTACACCTACACCTACAACTACAACTACAACTACAACTACAACTACAACTACACCCACACTCACATCCACATTCACACCTACACCTACACCTACACTTACACTTACACCCACACCAACACCCTCACCCACACCAACGTATCTAGAGAAAATGGAAAGGAAATGAGGGGGGGGGGTGTCAACCCCCAAGTGACACATGCATGAGTTTGTAAACATAGACCCCCCCCCCCCCCTTCCCCACCTCCCCTCCCTTGGCAAGGAGATTGATAGCGAAACTCCTGATCCTACTTGATCTACCCTATCGATCCCAAGATCCCATTTGAGGTATTCATCACGTGACCCCGTGTAAGTTATGGTCAGATCTCCTCCCCCCTCCCCCTCCCCCAGTCATGTGACCCCGTGTAAGTTGTGGTCAGATCCCCCCTCTCACCCCCCCCCCCAGTCACATGATGTTTTCACACTAGGCGGCGGTGTCTGTAGACATGAGAACTTCATCAATCACGCCCCACACATCACCCCACACAGCACCCCCACATTCCTACCCCCACACTATCTCAAACTCTCGACGAGCATGAAGGAAGCAGCAGATCTTTCTCGCACGTCCACGTTTTCTGGTGACGTGGCATATCTCTACCCAGTCTGCTGTAGGGTACCATCGGAGGGATGATTTGGACATTGCATCTGACACACTAGCCGGTGGTTCGAATCCATCAGTCTCTAAGGCTCTAAACTTCACTCTTAGAAATACACTCAAAACCGCTTATATATATATATATATATATATATATATATATATATATATATATATATATATATATATATATATATATATATATATATATATATATATATATATATATGTACGTGTGTGTGTGTAAATTTAGCTAATGGAATCTGTAAGTCCTTAAACTAATCTATAAACCCACAGCTAACGAATTGTAGTTTAACACTCGCAACCCAAGTAACTCCTGAGTTTTCTTCAAGTTTCATCTAAATTCAACAAACGCGGAAAACGCTAGCCAAGTAACAATTAACTCTTGCTGGGCTACCCCTTGATGCTGCGGTGAAAACTCCGCATCATTTCTCATTTATTTTTGACGTTTACCGGAAATTTATTTCAATCAAGAAGACACGGATTTTTTTTTTTTTTTTAAAGTGATAAAGTATTAAACATTTTTAGATCCTCCCCGAGAATGCACTTTCGCCCCGAACTTCGCGACAGGAGGAAAATCGTCTCTAATCTCACTCTAAAATCATCTGCCTTTACTCCCCTCCTCGCTCGTCAAGCTCCACGCTGACGGAGACAGCCTTGTGGAAACATGGTACCCAACAATGTGAGATTAATTAGCTCTCTGCAGTATGCACGGGGGCGCCAGCGCTTCCAGTAAATTCGTTTCCTTGCTCCAGCATGGCGGCGCGTCCTTGGAGACCGGAAATTGAATGTGCAGACGTGACTGGGAGGGCCGGATGAGATGTCGGAACACCCCGTGCTCGCAGCGTCAACCCCGTGGCGTTAACTTGCCACAAAATATTGCGGACGTGCGGGAAGATTTAAGGGTTGGTTCGTGTTCATGTCTATAGGGTGGGGAGATTTAAGGGTTGGTTCGTGTTCATGTCTATAGGGTGGGGAGATTTAAGGGTTGGTTCGTGTTCATGTCTATAGGGTGGGGAGATTTAAGGGTTGGTTCGTGTTCATGTCTATAGTGTGGGGAGATTTAAGGGTTGGTTCGTGTTCATGTCTATAGGGTGGGGAGATTTAAGGGTTGGTTCGTGTTCATGTCTATAGGGTGGGGAGATTTAAGGGTTGGTTCGTGTTCATGTCTATAGGGTGGGGAGATTTAAGGGTTGGTTCGTGTTCATGTCTATAGGGTGGGGAGATTTAAGGGTTGGTTCGTGTTCATGTATTCCACTGTGGGGAGATTTAAGGGTTGGTTCGTGTTCATGTATTCCACTGTGGGGAGATTTAAGGGTTGGTTCGTGTTCATGTCTATAGTGTGGGGAGATTCAAGGTTTGGTTCGTGTTCATTTCTTCCAGTTTAGTGTGGGAAGATTTGAGGGTTGGTTCGTGTTCATGTCTATAGTGTGGGGAGATTTAAGGGTTGGTTCGTGTTCATGTCTATAGCGTGGGGAGATTTTTGGGTTGGTTCGTGTTCATGTTTCACAGTATAGTGTGGGGAGATTTAAGGGTTGATTCGTGTTCATGTCTATAGTGTGGGGAGATTTTTGGGTTGGTTCGTGTTCATGTTTCACAGTATAGTGTGGGGAAATTTAAGGGTTGGTTCTTGTTCATTTCTATAGTGTGGGGAGATTTAAGGGTTGGTTCGTGTTCTTGTCTATAGTGTAGGGAGATTTAAGGGTTGGTTCGTGTTCATGTTTCACAGTATAGTGTGCGGAGATTTAAGGGTTGGTTCGTGTTCATGTCTATATATATATATATATATATATATATATATATATATATATATATATATATATATATATATATATATATATATATATATATATATATATATATATATATATATATATATGAATGGCGTTTAAAATGTTTATGTATATTTTTTTAAAAATCATGTAAAAAATCAAAACTTAGGGTTCAACATCTGAAATATAGTTACAAAATTTTAATTGATATCATCCACCTATGACCTAGGGTCTTTGATCTTGCGTCTAGGGTCTAGGGGTCCCGGGACTAGGACCGTGTCTAGGATCTAGGGTCAAGGGTGTTTAATCATTGGCTTGGGATCAATGGCACGCTGTAGGCTGCTTATTACATGTTAGTTGTGTGTGGGCGTATGTTGCGGCGGTGTGTATGTTGAAATCCTTATGTAAAACAGTTTCTAAAGTTACGGTTCAGTTACACTAATTCATATCCGACCTGTCACACAACAGCTGTGTCGCCTGTACTGGTCATTGATCGCTAGTATCAAAACCCACCCACTCATCCATAAAACATGGCTTTGTTCCGCATGAAAGAATTTAAACAGCTTGCACATGCGTGATACACACCATGATCTATGGCGATTCTGATTTATAGAACTTTTGTTGCGATACAATAGAAGTATGTAGATTGTACAATGCTGTTCAAGTTATCGCCCTTATACTCTGTGCACATCCCAGTGTTGGGCTACATTTATGGTAATACTCATAAGATGACTCAGTCTGTCCTTTTGTAAGAGAAGTTTGCAGTTCAACTTAAATACAGTCACGTACGAACATCCGTGAAAACTAAAAATCTAAATAAATTATTGGATGGGAACAGATCTGATTATAGCATGGTCGGTTGCTCCGTGTGATGAGCAATGGGTTGCTCTGTGTGATAGGCAATGGGTTGCTCTGTGTGATAGGCAATGGGTTGCTCTGTGTGATAGGCAATGGGTTGCTCTGTGTGATAGGCAATGGGTTGCTCCGTGTGATGAGCAATGGGTTGCTCCTTGTGATGGGCAATGGGTTGCTCCTTGTGATGGGCAATGGGTTGCTCCGTGTGATGAGCAATGGGTTGCTCCTTGTGATGGGCAATGGGTTGCTCCTTGTGATGGGCAATGGGTTGCTCCGTGTGATGAGCAATGGGTTGCTCCTTGTGATGGGCAATGGGTTGCTCCTTGTGATGGGCAATGGGTTGCTCCGTGTGATGAGCAATGGGTTGCTCCTTGTGATGGGAAATAGGTTGCTCCTTGTGATGGGCGATGGGTTGCTCCGTGTGATGAGCGATGGGTTGCTCCTTGCTTTGTGTGATGGGCAATGGGTTGCTCTGTATGATGGGCAATGGGTTTCTCCGTGTGATGAGCAATGGGTTGCTCCGTGTGATGTACATTTCTTCAAGAATCACTTCCTTAGCTTTGAAATTAAAGAATTTAATTTCTTGTATGTTTTATTTTATGAAATTTTTAATTAATTGAGATATGGTTGTGTGGCTTTGTTACTACGTTTACATTTTAAATAATGTATCAAATTAAACTATTAAGGGATAATTACCGAAAATTGCACTTTGACTCAGATTTCAGCCTTCTTTTCCTTTTAGATTTACTTCCATAGCCTTTGTCCGTCCAGTCCAGGAACATACTACGAGACAGAAGTTGTTAGTTGTTTGATTTTGGATTTGTTGCTGACTCCCGATATCGAGCCTCATCTGCCCGGACGTTCGAACTCGAGACTTTTCGGTTTATCAATGGACCCTGATTGGTATTAGCGCCCCGATAGTTTGTGACTGGGTTGTATGACGCCCTGATGTAGGAGAGAAGTGACGCCCTGGTGTGGGAGAGAAGTGACGCCCTGGTGTGGGAGAGAAGTGACGCCCTGGTGTGGGAGAGAACTGACGCCCTGGTGTGGGAGAGAAGTGACGCCCTGGTGTGGGAGAGAAGTGACGCCCTGGTGTGGGAGAGAAGTGACGCCCTGGTGTGGGAGAGAAGTGACGCCCTGGTGTGGGAGAGAAGTGACGCCCTGGTGTGGGAGAGAAGTGACGCCCTGGTGTGGGAGAGAAGTGACGCCCTGGTGTGGGAGAGAAGTGACGCCATGGTGCGGGAGAGAAGTGACGCCCTGGTGTGGGAGAGAAGTGACGCCCTGGTGTGGGAGAGAACTGACGCCCTGGTGTGGGAGAGAAGTGACGCCCTGGTGTGAGAGAGAAGTGACGCCCTGATGTAGGAGAGAAGTGACGCCCTGGTGTGGGAGAGAAGTGACGCCCTGGTGTGGGAGAGAAGTGACGCCCTGGTGTGAGAGAGAAGTGACGCCCTGATGTAGGAGAGAAGTGACGCCCTGGTGTGGGAGAGAAGTGACGCCCTGGTGTGGGAGAGAAGTGACGCCCTGGTGTGGGAGAGAAGTGACGCCCTGGTGTGGGAGAGAAGTGACGCCCTGGTGTGGGAGAGAAGTGACGCCCTGGTGTTGGAGAGAAGTGACGCCCTGGTGTGGGAGAGAAGTGACGCCCTGGTGTGGGGTTGTGACTGAATAACACCGCAATCTTCCCCCCCCCCCCCCGCCTAGCGACGCCTAAACCTGCAAAAAATCTTTCTCAAGCCCACCCGTATACCCCCCTCCCCCTTATACTCACATTGAAGTAATGATATAACCAAAGAGGGGGGGGGGGGGTGGGAAAGTTTTTAACCTACCAGGTGGGAGTCGGTTTCTTCAAACCCGACCAGAGGAGTGCGATTGAAAACAGCCTCCATCATGCACGACATCTTACTGCATGCAGCACCCCCCACCCCCACCCCCGCCACCCGGATCATGCACGGCATCTTACTGCATGCAGCACCCCCACCCCCACCCCCGCCACCCGGAAACGGAGTGCAGTTCAACCAACAGCACGTGCAGACTGTTAAAACCACCCCTCCCCGCAACCCTCACTTCTCTGTAGGAAGTGAAGAATAGATATGATGAGAATGGGCACCGTCTGCGTGAGTGTAAGAACATGCACACGTGAGGTAGGTGAGTGCTCACGCTCATGTGTTCCCCAGATGGCCGGGGTATAAAAACACCAATCAGGTTAGCGGTTCAAAGAAGCAGCGGGAAAGTGGATTGATCAGGCCGCGGTGTGGCCGAGGTGGGAGCTCTTCAGTTCGGGGAGATCACCCTTGTTTGTTAGCAACCGACTGCGGGGGTTGACCTTTGGTGATTCCGTCCGTCTCACCAACTTCTTCCTGACGGGGACGGTTAGTTTAGAAGGGGGGGGGGGAGTTTTTTGCAAGTTAGAACGAAAAAAAATGAACAACAGAAAGTTGTTGAGTGGATGGTGTTTGTTTTATTGCAGTTGAAGCAGAGTTGGTCTATTTTATTCTACATTTCAGTGGCATCTTATTTTGTGGTGTCATTTAGTTACGTGGATTAACGATTTCATACCAAGATGTCATTTATGTCATTTAGTGACGTCATACAGTCGTGTCATATGGACATATTAAATGTCATTAAGATCCATTGCTTACCACGGTGCAAAAATAAAAGTTCTGTAAAATCAAAGGATATTAGAAACACCAATTAACTATTTTTCTTTGATGTGTAACGCCCCCTTTTAACTCTACACAAACGAAATTCCACATAGGTTTAATTTAAAAAAAAAAACAACCCAGTAAATCTTTAACGTATGTTTTGGCAAAGTTTAGTTTTAATAAGAACTTTCTCTCTTACACACAGTCACACGCTTACACACACAAACCCACACACATGCACACACACACGCTCATTCTCTCACACACGCGCGAGCTTATACCCACACAAAAACGGCCCGGCCTCATTAAAATTATGAACTTCTTTATTTAATTAAACTATTATCCCCACTAATCACATGCATTCAGGTTGCCATGACAACGTCTTTAGCAACGAGTACCGGGCTAAAGAAACATAAAAAAGATTATTTTTCCCTCTTTACAATTAAAATATTAAATTCCTTTCTCATCAGATCGCTGTTGGAAATATTTTTTTTTTTTTTGCTAAAAGGTTTGTAAATTGCTGTTTGTCTGGTGATCGTGGTGACTTAAACTGCTGTCGATCATTAGCGCTACCCGCAGGAGGGTTTACACCGCCGTTAATTCTCAGGTGTGCCGCGGTCCTCACGCGTTTCTCCCGTGTCCCCCACCTCCCCTCAGGTGAGTTAAGGTGTGTGGGCAGTTGATGTTCCAGATGAAAAACTCCACAGAAGGTGAGGGAACTTCCGCACACGATAATAGGTTGTATCGATAATAGGTTGTATAGATTGTTGATCGTTCCTCAAAGCAACTCCTTACCCTAGGGCTAGAGTAATGGCCATGAGCCTGGGTCTAAGCCATAAACTTAATTCTTACTCTTACCCTATCGCCGATAACGGGAAGGAGAAAAAGAATTATGAATTTATAAAGCCTTGCTGGCATTTATTTAAACACACACACACACAATATATATATATATATAAGTATATGTATCAGTGGCGTAGCGAGGTCGGGTGTCACCCGGTGCGGCACTTAATGGTGTCACCCCCCAAAGGCGTAGCGACTTCCCGGGGACAAATTTTCGATTTGCACCCCCCACCCCCTCAAACTTTCGATTTGCACCCCCCCTCAAGTTTTCGATTTGCACCCCCCCCCCCCCACCCTCAAACTTTCGATTTGCACCCCCCCCCCTCAAGTTTTTCTCTATATATTTTGCTATTTTCTGCCTTGGTGTCAACCCCCTAATTGGTGTCACCCGGTGCGGTCCGCACCCCCCGCCCCCCCCCCCCCCTCGCTACGCCTCTGATATGTATATATGAAAAAATACACACATATTACACAAACACGCAGTACCTATAGGGTGGACTATATTTTGCCCCACCCCCTCCCCCATGTCTCTTGCATGAAAATGTTAGAACCGCTGCTCCAACATAGCTGTAATCCTAGAGGAATTAGATGTCTTGCTGGCGACTTACTCCAGCCTCCATCTGTCAAAACACATCCGTCCATCACACTTTGGCCGTCTATTCCAGCATGAACAGTTTGTATTTAGGCCGTCTATTCCCGTGTCTATTCCAGTGTAGAAAATTGGCCGTCCATGTGTGTGTTCCAGTACAATGTGGGCAACTATTACAGTATATAAAGTGTGTAGTATACTAGCCGTCCGTGTAAGCCGTCCTTCATCAAGTCGGCCGTCTTAGACAGTATAGACCGTATGTATGGAAATCTGGCCGTCCAACAGTCTTTATGTATAGAAAACTGGCCGTCCATCACGGTATACGCCGTCCATCAGTCTTTATGTATACAAAATTGGCCATCCATCATATATAGACTATGTATAGAAAACTGACCGTCCATCACATATGTACTCTCTATAGAACAACCGAACTTCATAACGTTAGACAGCCTTGGTGAGAATGTGCCATCTATTATTTTTGGTTCCACGCTTTCTATTTTGTCCGTCCAAGGCATTAAGAACCGTCCATATAGAAAACTGGCCGTCCATGCCAAATGCTGGCCGTCCATGCCAAATGCTGGCCGTCCATGCCAAAATGCTTGTCAATTTCAAAACGGAATGTCTATCACAGAACAACACGTCATTCACAGCACAGGTCGAGCATCACATCGCTGGCCGTCCAGTGAAAAAAACAACCTGGCCGTCCATTCTACACGTGCCGTCCATCAGGATGAAGGGCGAGAAGCAGGCTTCTACTCTACAGGGAGTTATGACAAGTGTGATCAGACTCATATCATAACACGGCTCGCACTAGATGATCTCTGCCAGGCTCGTTAGAGGGGGATCAGGTGAGTTGAGATGAGGTAAGGTGAGATAGGTTTGCTGAGGTAAGGTGAGGTAAGTAAGGTAAGATGAGGTAAGGTGAGATAGGTTTGCTGAGGTAAGGTGAGGTAAGTAAGGTAGGCTGAGGTAAGGTGAGGTAAGTAAGGTAGGCTGAGGTAAGGTGAGATAAGTAAGGTAGGCTGAGGTAAGGTGAGGTAAGGTGAGTTAAGTAAGTTTTGCTGAGGTAAGTTAGGCATACAGTATGTAGATGTGATATCATCTTAATCAAACTCTAAAAAAGAGCATTTTAATACAAATTTTAAATATGAAAAAATTAACAAGGTAATTAGTGAGAGAGATGAAGATATGTTAATCCAGACAAAATGATTAATTAGCTGAGTTTGACGACCGTAAATTATGTGAACAGCCCTCACCCAGTTGTGTGAATAGCCCCCAACCAACTGTGTAAATAACCCCCATCAAGTTGTGTGAATAGCCCCCAGCCAGTTGTGTGAATAGCCCCCAACCAACTGTGTAAGTAACCCCCATCAAGTTGTGCGAATAGCCCCCACCTCCAGTGGTTTAGTCGGTGCGTTATGGCCAATGAGCTGCCCTAACAGGTGGGTTAGATTAGTAACGTTA